GTGGTTTCCCTTCCTGTTTTTTTTTTTTTTTCTTCTTCTTCTTATTCTTTTTTTGGAGATATTTTTTGTCATAGGGCACGTGCGCTTGCCAGAAAGACAGAAAGCGAGAAATCACCCCCCAGGGGGGATGGCCACGCCGCAATCCCTTCTCCATTCTTCTCTCGGGATCTTGGGCACGCACGTACATGCGCCCAGCGTGAGTTTAAGCCACCAGATCCGGGACTCAAACTGCAGTCGACTACATGGGAGTCCAGCGACATAGCCATTACGCCAACTGCTGGTCCCATCCCTGCCTGCTTTTGAAGGCAGCTGGGAACAGACATGCGGAAGTGGAGGAGGACACATCCCTCTGTGGGCTGGACATACTCCAATGGTGCTTTGTGTCCTTTCTGGGCTTCCCCTTTTCCTCCTATAGAGCCGTGGACCATGGGATTCAGCAAAAGCTTCAAGAGGAAGTTCTTTTACAACAAGAAGACCAAGATATCTACCTTTGACCTCCCTGCAGACTCCATTGCTCCCTTTCAGTAAGTTGCCCTCCTCCAGAACTGCCCTCTTCAGCAGCTCTACATACTCCTGCCTGGATACCAGGCACATCTCGGGTCCTGAGATGGGTCATGCACGCATTCCCTAGGCATGGACCAGGTTCTGTTCCTGTTGGGAACACCATCTTCTCCACAGAGGTGGGACGAGGGCTTCTGCAGGTGTGGGTGGGCTGGGTAGTAAGCCCAGTGAGAGGGGAGTGATGCCTGGGTCTGCTGTGATGGTTGGAGGTCCTGGGTGTGAAGGGCCCCGTCCAGGCAGGGCACCTGCCCTGTGGAGCAGCCACCACTTACGTGCTGTTCCAGCATCGCCTGGCGACCCGAATATGCTGAGTCTACCTGTCCCTTGGGACTTGAGGTCCCAGCTGTCCCTCATCAGAACCCGGCATCCATTTGCCAGATTGTTGGTCATAGATTTCCAGAGCAGCCCTGATGTGCCTGTCTTTAGCCGTGACACTTGTTTCTGTCACCACACTCATGCTGTCCTGTTAAGAGAAGCACAGGCAGATAACTGGGAGAATCTAGTTGAACACAATTAGCAGCAGCAGCTGTCTGTTGGGAAAAGTTGGTGCTGGGAGGTGAGGAGGAGGAACTGGGTACCTTTTGACCACCATGGGGGCCCTCAACTGTAGTAACTGACAGACAGTCCCCCAACACACTCCTGAGCACACCCATCCCTGTCACTGTGGTGGGGGGGTGTCTCTTGGTCCTGTGCCTCTGGGATGCAGCCATCTGACCTCTTTCCTCTCCTCCATCCCAGCATCTGCTACTACGGCCGGCTCTTTTGGGAATGGGGGGATGGCATCCGCGTGCATGACTCCCAGAAGCCCCAGGACCCAGACAAGCTGTCCAAGGAGGATGTCCTCTCATTCATCCAGAGTCACAGTGCCTGAGGGCCACAGGATGCCCTACCCCCGCCGAATGCCCTGTTGGTCCCTGAAGCAGGGTGCTCTGCACCTGGGGCCCACAGTCCTGGTTTCTTCCCCCTCTCAGAGAGGGACTGGTGAGCATCGCAGTCTGGCCGTGAGAGGCGGGCGGCTCTTCTCCGTCCCCTGAAGAGCTCAGTCAGGACCTTCAGAGGACACAGTCCTACGAGGACACCTGCCTTGGGAACCGTGTCCCTGCCGGGACTCAGCCGAGGAAGCTGCTCCTGAACTAGTGTGAGTCCTGGCCCGGGGCACGCAGGGCCAGTGGAGGACACGTCAGAGGGTCGCAGGGCTCTGGGCTCTGCCATTCTCCCTGTATCTTGTAGACTCACTTTTCTGAGTTCCATGCACTGCCTTTGAGGGCACCCATGCCCCTGCTTTGCCCAACTTTTTATTGGGCCAACCCTGAGTGGGCAGAGGCCCACTGTCGTGAGCTGGACAGCAGCAGCTGCTGTGCAAATCAAGGTTTCATTTCTTTGAACTTACTGTTTTGATGCCAATGCAGTTGGAGTTTCTTGTCTCCTCCCTGCACCCATCCTGGCTTCCCCCTGGGGTCCTTCGCAGTCCAGACCTTTGGCAGTCCCGGCAGGCCGGGAAGGAGGGGTCAGGCCCCACGTCCCTGTCACTGTACTGGGACCCGGGTAGTGCTGTCTCTGGTACGGGTGTGCTGCTTCCTGGGGCTGTAGAGCCTTCTGGGGCCCATCCCCTTTTGATCAAAGACTGGGCAGCTTGGGAAGGCAGGAAGCAGACTCGAAGACCTGCCGTTTTCTCCCAGCCGCAGTTGCCCCACCTAGCAAAGGTGGTACGTCCCAGCTTTGGGTGGCACCGCCCCTCAGGTCATTGCGTACCAGAGCCTGGCCTGCTAGCCACCCAGGGTTCGGGCAGAGCCCTGAGCTGGAGGTGGCTCCTGCTACTCATTCCCTTCCATTGTTTTCCTCCCCCAGCAGGAGGCAGTCTGCTTTGTTTGTACTACATGGTCGCTCCGCTCCACTTCCTCCTCCTTGGTGGAGGCAGAGGAAGGAGGGGGAGGTGGGCAGTAGCTTTGGGTGGGGAGGGCACCCATGGTGGTTTTCAATGGGAAACCCCTCTCAAGATGTTCTGGCAGACTCCTGAGGGCCTCATCCCAGTGCCAGTATGGTTTCCATGGAGATAGGCACTGAGGCTCCCATGAGGTTGGACTCTCTCCTGAGGTCCTCAGCCAGCACCCAGCCCCCACCCTCAGGCTGGCAGCAGCACTTCTGAGATGCCTGTTTCCGCCCAGTGCTGGGTATATCTGTGTGTCTTGCAGAATCTCAGATCATTAAAGATTAACGTATTTTTAACACCTGTGTGGCTCTGCTGGGGCTGCGCCGTCCTCACTGCCTTGTGGTCTGGGACTGGCTGGGATGAAACCGCTTAGGCTGGAGGTGACAGGTGACAGGGAGGAAGCTCTAGTCAAAGGAAAGGGGAGGACAGGGTTTGTTTTGACCGGAGCAAACGCCTTAGCAGCTGCTGGAAGAAGAGTGGAGAGGGGAAATGACAGCCTGGCTGGCTTGGGAAGCAGGGAGAGTGAGCGAGCCTACAGCCCCGGGTAGGCAGGAGGCACCTTCCCCACATAAATCACGCAGCTCACTCTGTAGTGGCAGTGTGACAGCCCAGGACCAGTCTATGTGACTAAAATAACAGAGGTGTCAGACCAATTAGTGTCACTGGATGGGGGAAGGAGGGAGAGGGTTTTGCTGACCCTGGCAGCCTCCCCTCATAGGAGACCAGGGCTGGCCCTGCCCAGTGGGCGGGATGTGCAGACGCTGAAGGGCTCCCTCCTCTCTAGGCCAGGCCCAGCCTCCCTTGGCCCTGAGGGTCCTGCCTTGATGTTTCACAGCCTTAGCTCCTCGGCAACTCCTCGCCTTGGTTTTCCTTACTTAATTGGTTTAATTTCAACCATCCAAGCCCTTCCTCACCCTTCTGTGCCTTGCTGCAGCCTCCCACCACCCTCCCTGCCTGGGCCAAGCTGGGAGCAGGGAGCAGTGCTCAGGGTGGGCTTTGCTGCCCCTGCCTCCAGCTGCCCCTCCCAGCAGCCCCACCCTACCACTTCTCACTGCAGACCCACCCGATTTACTGGCCACTGTCACCGTAAGTCTGGCCATTACCATGGCTCTTGCTGCCCACTTGCTCTGCTCTCCAAGATGGATTAACTCCACACTCCCCTGGGACCTCCACACGACCACTTCAAGTCCCCAAGTCGTCCTTCGCTGCACAGGCTGCATTTTCCTGCTATAATTACAGGCGATGGCACTGACAGGGCAAGACTGTGTGGTGGGGGTGGGCAGAGGGCACAGTGTCTGCTTAGCCCCAGCTGTGCCAAGCCCTGCATGTGACACCTGGCACAGTTCTGGCTTGAGAAGTGCTTCCCGCCGTCCCCTTATTTCTCACTTAAGCTGGAGCTGGCCTCTGAGGCTTCTCCCTCCCTCTTGAATTCTAAGCCAAGAGCTTTCCTTTGAACATCTCTTCTTCCCGATTCCTGAGTGCTGCCCTCACCCCCGGCCGGCCGCAGGCAGACCGTGACATTTACTCAGTAGACAGGAGCCGCCTGATGTTCTTTATTGCCTCTCCCTTGGGCCTGGGGAGGAGCCAACAGTGCGTCTTTCTGCAGACCCAGGCCCCACAGAGGCCAGGGAGGCAGAGGAAGCCGGCCGGAGCGCCTTGCAGCACGGAGGGATGCCCCAATCCCTTGGTCTTGCTGAGGCCTGAAGGGCCTGCCTGGTCCCATCTAAGGAGCTGAGGGGTGGCCTGCGCTGGCTGTGGGGCATCCCAGGCTCACATGGTCCAGCAGACGTAGACCAGGGTCAGGATGATGAAAATGGCCACGGAGAGCAGCATGTTCTTCCGGTTCTCCTGCCGAAGCAGCTGAAGCTCCTTCTCTGGAAGGACACAGCACTGGGGAGAGGTAGCTCAGGCCTGTCATCTGCCTCTCCCTCTCCAGCCACTTCTTGCCTGTGAAAACCCTGTTTGGACCTGCCTAGAGCCTCGTAACCTTTTGGCAGTAGAGCCTGGTCTAAGAAAGTTCCAGTGCTCCATGCTGCCCAGGCACTTCTCCCCCAAGTGCGGTGGAGGACGGGGACACCAAGACCACACCTACGAGTAAGGCAGTGTGACATCACGGTGGGTCCTGTCACCTATCTCAGGCAGGCTGTGACGCTCATCCTCCAGCCAAGTTGGACCTCAGGGCAGCTGGCACCTCTTGGGCCTGACAGAGGAGGTGCTGATGATGGGGCCACACACATTCCTTCCTGCCAGGTGCCCGGCTGGCAGGAACCAGAGTTGCTGAGAGGAGGCGGTTTGTGCCCGTGAGGGAGCTGGGCCTAACTCCAGAGAAAGCCAGGCCTGCTGGTCTGTACCCACACTTGCACTGCCATCCCCTCATGACGTGCCGGTGGTTGGTTCTCTGTGAGGCTAAACTGAGGGATGATGTAATTTTGTGTGAAAATTGCTGAGCCTGAGGGTAACTGATGTCCCACCCCTACCCATGTGAAGGCGGGGGCGGGACACACTTGCAGGCCAGCTCCTAGCAGGCCACACTGTGCCCATGGCCCAGGGGACACCTGGCCCAGCCATGTCCAACTTCAGGTGGGGTGGGCAGGCCCAGGTGCTGTGTCTACATTGATTCAGATGGGTCCTTCTGGGAGGCTCCCTGTCCTGGAGCTGACTCTTAGCCAGGCCTGGCCCTTGGTGGGAGGGCACAGACGGGATGCATCTCGGAGCCTCCGGAGAGGCTGCAACCACCCTGGTGCCTTCCCTGCCTGGACGCCACGTGGCTCTGCCCCCAGTGCCCAGAAGGTGGCACCATTGCATCATCTGCAGGAGCCCTTCCTGGCCTCCACCCCAGCCCGCTCCCACCCACTCCCACTCCACCGCAGGGTCTGGCTGGGAGGCAGTGGAGGGCTAGGAGTGGGGCAGGGGAGGATGGACCTCAGGAATGGGTGGCTGTGAGTCATTCCTGAACCTGGCTGCAGCGACACCCCTTCACCCCCAACAGGAGACACCCACGGGCCAGCTCTCTCCCCTGGGCCAAAGGAACAAAGCTGCTCTCCCCTAGGCTGCTGGGCCTCCAGTAGGCCCCTGCAGCCTCCTGGGTGCTGGCTCCTCCCAAAGAACCCCCTTGCTCCCTGGGGGCTGGAGGGTGAGGCCAGTAACTGAAGGAACTCTCTTACCATAGTTGGAGGCTTTGCTCATTAGGCTGTTTTTCTCCTTCTCCAGAGATCTCCTGTGAGGAGGGAAGGAGTTTTATGCTTAAACCCTTTAACTTTTCTCCCAGCCAAGGGGCAGCTGGTTCACCAGGGGGACAGGGGCTCAGGTCTGGGGACAGGTAAAGAGGACTGAAGCCCAGAGGACCCAAACCCTCTGCCTCAGGCCTAGTCTACTTTGGGGACCCAGCATGGACACGCAGGGCAGGGCAGGGCAGGGGAGGAGAGAGTGGCTAGCAGGAACATTACCTGGCCTCTGGGCTCAGCTCCGCCCCGTAGAGCCTGGAGTTGACAGTCTCCAGGTCTCGTCGGCACTGGGACAACTTCTCCTCCAGCCCATCGATCTGAAATGCACAACAGGTAGATGGGCCGTGAGCCGTGTGGTGTTCAAACCCTGGGACCAGGTGGAGCGGGCCTCCAGGAGTCTTCTCGGCCAGCCCCCTCATCCCCTACCGAGCCACATTAGTTTCTGCTGAGCAGGGCACCCAGATCGGCCTCCGCGGAGTCTTTGTTCTGCTGCCCTCTCCCCTGATGCAGGACAGCAGCCTGAGCCCGCTGGCAGCTGCTGGGTTCTCAGGGTCTCAGCTGTCTGACCCTCTGGGCCAGGCACCATTGGGATGGAGGAACAGCACCTCACCCGTCTCCCCAGCACGACACCTCAGCTGGGCCCACAGGGAGCCCAACCAGAGCCCTGGGTGCAGCACAGATCTGCCGCACAGGTGTCTCCTAGAGTGAAGTGAGACCCTGTGAGGGCCCAGTGGCTCCCAAAGCACTCCACACAGATGAGGGATGGGCAATTAGACAGCCAGGGGCCAAAAGCATGTTTTTCTCACTGACACACTTTACTTACATATTATAGTCTAAGATGTAAGAATGTACATTTTTCGGGCCAGCAGGTGGCATGGTTAAAGGCGCTGGATTCCCCTGTGGTAGACCACGGTTCAAGTCCCGGACCTGGTGGCTTGCTTTCCCTTTCTCTCTCTCTGGTCAGATTAAAAAATAGCAAGTGGGGGGCTGGCAGGTGGCTTGGTGGTTAAGGGTGCTGGACTCACATGGCCGACTGTGGTTCGAGTCCCAGACCTGGCGCTTGCTTGCCCTCGCACTCTCTTTCCCCCCCTCTCTGGTCAAATTGAAATAAATAAATGAATAAATAAGTAAATAAAGTTAAAATAATTAAAAAAAAATAACAGGTGGAATTAAATAAATCTTTCAAAAATTGCACATTTTTCTGTAAGAACCAATAAAAAATAGGGAGGGGCTGGGTAGCGGTGCAGTGGTCAGATGCAGCGCTCTGTAAGGCTGACCCAGTTCACATCCAGAGACCTCCCTGAGTGTGCCAGGCACGTAAGTGGCCACGCTCCAGGGCTGGCTGGAGCTGGGGATGGATCATGGCATCGGAACTCTTCTGGGGCCTGCTGGCTGGTGCTCTCATAGAAAAAAGGACAAAAATATTGCTGAATGAAAAAAAGTGCAAGTAAAAAATACTCTCTTCCTCGGTTCTCATTCAGAAACATGCCTGTCACCAAGGTAGCTGTAACTTGGGTGTCA